CCCGTGCCGCCGCCTGGGCCCGCCGCGGCCAGGGGGAGCGCCCCCCGCCCCGGTGGTGGCTGTGTCCGGCCTAGCAGCTAACGGTGCCCCCCCACCACTTTCTCCTTCCAGCCTTCAGGGCGTGCCGGTGGCTTACGACAACATCAAAGTGGTGGGTGAGCTCGGGGACATTTACGACGACCAGGGATTCATCCACCTGAACATCGAGGCGGACTTCGTCGTCTTCAGCCCCAAGAAAGGGAAAAAACTGGTGGTACGTAAACGCGTTGACGTCTTACGGGGCATTTTTTTTTTAATGACGTAATCAAAGCTTGGCTTATCTTCGTCATCAACAGAGGTCTGGGACTTAGGTGGAGTTATATTTCAGTTTATATTAGTAGTTTATTCGTGTATGATTTATTAGCAGTTCGTAGTAGTAGTTTTTATTTTCATCTATCTGTACTGTCTGTCCTATATTAAATTTTATGCATAATATTTATATATTATTGAAATACTGTATCGTAAAGATTACATATTATTAAATACTATATCATGATTTTGGTATATCATCTATATCAATGCTTCTTTCTGAAGAGCAGATAATCCTCAAACAGGTGTGTTTGTTCTTATTTAAAGGTGGCGGGAACGTTTAGGACGTTCTCGTGAGTTTATTTCCTTCAAGTACAAGAGCAGTACATCAAGCTGAAGCCTGCCTTTCAGTAAAAGGAAACGTACGGCTCACAGAACAACTTTTAAGCTTCTTAACACCCTTGCGTCAGTACTGGTGGGAAAAATAAGCTGAGAGTTGGCTTACATTCATTGTTGTGCCATACTTTCGCAGCACAGCTTGTGTCTTTCTAAATGTGATTAAGAAATGAATGTGTCCTCTTGCTAGGAAGAGAATGGGAAAACCCTCAGTGTCTTTCTTTCATCCTTGGGGAAAACAAAGGTGAATAACGTTTGACGGCAAACGTGTCAGAAACCCACTGAGTGGAGTACTTAAAAGCTTCTTATGCGTCATCTGTATCTTTAGCTGCTAAGTAGTGCTGTGCCAGCATGAAGGCTGTTTTAGGCAAGTAAATCAGACTTAAAATGGCTTTAAAGCAAAGTTGATGGCTGTAGTGTGAGGAAAGAGTTACCTGTTCTATTCAAGTACTCACTGTGGCCGAATCCCATGTTTTGACTTTTTCTCTTGCAGATACAGGTTTACTTCTCTTTTGGGAGGAATTGTATGAAGAGTATATAGGAATAGCTTTGATTCTTGGTGAAGAAAAGTTAGCTTATTTGCTAGATAAACTGACTTTGTAACTTGTGCGTATAAAGTCTTGTCAAAAAGTGTCCATATGGGAAACTAAATGTATATCATGTGTGCGTTTAAAGGAGTGATCTTTACTATAGCTTTCCATGACATTCTTTTTCTTCTTTAGGGTGTAATTAATAAAGTGGCCCCAAGTCATATTGGCTGCCTGATACATGGATGCTTCAATGCTTCTATCCCTAAACCTGAGCAAATGTCGATTGTACAGTGGCAAGAGCTGGGGTTAAAAATAGGGGATGAACTGAAATTTCAAGTATTGCACTTGGATTCTGATGCAGCTGGGGTGTTCTTCATTCGAGGAGGACTCACTAAAAGCAGGTATTGTGCCATACGAGAGAATATTTTTAACTGTTTTAATGGGTTTGTTACAAGCTAAATTATTTGAATTAACATCTTTAAGCTTTCTTGTTTTTACACAAACCCACGTCTATATATATCCTGTGTTAGTTATCTTAAACTAAACTTCATAGTGTTAAGGATTCACATGGAAATTTTCTCTGGAAAGATAAAAGTAGATTTTTTTGAGCTTTAAAAATCTCTGTGTGCTGAGCTATGAACTGTTGATTGTGTAAATAGTACATGTTCAAAATAGCATCCCCAAATGTCTACAGTAGCTGGGTTTATGAATGTGCATAGGCTTTTCAAGTGAAAACACTCCCGTTCCTGAACACAGTGTTTACATTGGTGTTTGTACACACACACACAGACACACACATTACATAACCACAAATAGTTACATGTGGATGATGTAAATGCTTGCTGAAACATAAGAATATACTTGATCTCAAAAGATGATAGGAGAAGATGCATCACCTTCCTCCTTTCACTTATGCCTCTCAATTTTTAGAGCAGCTTGCTAAAAATCTTAATAGTGACGTCTTTAAAAGAGTTCATTCAGATGTTTTTTTTTTTTTTAAACAGTCATTTGCTGAGCAATTTTTTTCTACCGACGTGGTTATGTTTTTAATTAAATGTAAAATATGACTACTACTGACAAACAACATTTCTAGACGTCTCTGGTGGTGCTTTTTGTTTGTTTGGGTTTTTTTAATCTGGAAGGATGCTCTGGATTGTTTCAGTGAACTTACAATGGGACTTAACGATTTTGTCCTCAGTGCTTCTGGGGATGTCTCCTCCTCGTGGTTTTTAACTGCTTCTTTCCATATTTGTCTTCCTAGACATTTTCTCCAGTGCTCTCAGTTGCAAGGTACCTGCTGGGTTTTGGGATTTTGTTTGGGGTTTTTCTTCTTTTTTTTGACTCTTCTGACATCACCTTTGTTTTCACTGTATAGACTTCAGCAAGGCAATTGCTTGGTAAAAACAGCAGTGTGTCTCATGTGTGATTGAACAGGTCATTGGCTGTGCGTGTTTGTGAATAACTTAAAAAAAAAGGTTTACTACACAATGTGTAATTATGAACTAGTGGATGAAGGAGTACAAGAAAAGAGGAAATATTGAAATGGTCTGCGCAGCATTTTAGAGAAGAAATTTAGGCTAAGATTTGAAAGAGAATATTGATTCTGTGGTAAGAAGGAACCTAGTCAGGTAATAGAAATTAAGCTGGAAGAGTTAAATTTGCTTTATGATTTTCTGTAACTAGAGTATCATGCTCTCCATTTGTTCTTTTTAGCAAATGCTTATCTTTTATGTACCTAGTGTAAGTACTGTGTTTTAGCAAATCTTGACATTTCACTGTGTGAGGTGCACTTAGATGTCTCTACTTCAGCTTATTTTGTATATTTCTTTACAGCATGCGGCCCAAACGATCGGAGACCACCACTGACCATACAAATGGAGATGAAATTCAAAAGCTTGACCACCAGGAAAATGGCTTGAATGACTCTGGGAAAGATAATATCACAGAGGAGCCTCTAGGTGAGACGGGTAACACTGGGACGGAAAATGCAGAAGAGCAAAGTGTTGATGCTGTGAATGGATTATGTGATGGTAAAAACAAGAAGAAGAAGAAGAAAAAGAAGAAGCATAAGCAAGAAGAACAGGAACATGTATTGCCTGCCAGTGACTCCAGCGGTTACCAAAGTGACCATAAAAAGTCAAAGAAAAAGAAAAGAAAGCATTGCGATGAAGTTGAAGAAAGTGAATTATCTCAGCCGTCACAAGAACCCAAAGCTAAAAAGAAAAAGCACTGAAGTCTGAAGTGCCTTTCCTGAATAAGATTTCAGACGTTTTTGATAAGCTTCCAATAAAATCCCATGTTCAAACTGTATATGTATATTTCTTTACTAAACAATCTGCTCTGCTAGGTGGGATGATGTTTGTGTGCATATGTGCACCAACAGCTTTAAAGGCAGGAGCTTTTAAAGGAGTGATAGAAGAAATGGGATAGAAGCAGTATCTGCCTGTTTTACTTACTGGGAAATAAGGCACAGAAGAACAGTGGAATGTAATTACAGGAACACATGCATCACCTCTGTGTCTGCTTCTAGGTTCCACGCATTACGAGTAGCTAGTTACGATCTTTGCTACTGTAATTCTGTCTTTGTTGCTCAGTGTCTTGATTTTATAAGAGTAGATTTGGCTTACCTTTGGGGTTCTGAGAAATACACCTGAATTCCCAGGGGCTGAGAAGAGATTTTTATTGTAGTAAGGGGCCATGAATGCCTGTGAATGAAACTCTGCAGCCTGACTTAAAGGTTAAGCAAACTCGAGTGTCTTGGATCTTTCAAAACACCTTTCGCGGTACTCTAGGAAAACCAGTATGATCAGTTGATTCGGAGCAAGCAGGGAAGACAGGAGAAGATTAATGTAACCTAATATAATGAAGTACCACTTACAGGTTAGAATACCACTGAGATACAGGCTGATAAAGCAGTTGGTAATGGGACATACTTTGATAAAGTTCATTTTTATGCATCAAGCTCATTGACATCACAGTTTTCTTTAAAAAAAAAAAAAAAAGCTAAAGTGCAATTCCCAGCTTTTTGTGCTAGTTGTAACTTTCAAACACTGCTCTCTAGAATCGCGGGTACCTACTGTCAGTATTTCCCAAACTGTTGGAATTAATGTTAGTGGAAAGTTCTGACAATGGGAAAATGACAGTCAAGTGTTAACAAATGTGCCTTTATTAAGAAATAATTTTCCTGATGTACGTGTATGATAATTTTTTGAATATCAGTTCTTCTGGTTGCAGCTCTTTTCTGTTGTGAGGAGTTCTGGGGAGAGCTGTAGTGTGACATGGTCTAGGCTAAGTCTTTAAGCGAGGTAGGCAGCGATGATTACTGTGGTATTGATTTACCTATTACAAGAAGACATACAAGGCTTCCAAAGGGCTGGTTAAGTAAACAGCATGTATGTGGAAGCTTGCTGCTCATCTGTCTGTTCTGAGGTGACAAAACATTTTACGCTAGTGGTTATGCTGATGCTATTAGCTCACTTTACTAGATTTATATACAGTGCCTAACAACATATCCATTCACCTTGAACATGTTCTGAATTTAAAGTGTGACAATACTTGTTTTAGGGCTCACTTTGTGCTATATTGATGTCTTTTATGTATCTTTAAAGCTCCAAACTTACCAAGACAAACCTAAGTTTCTGTCTTCGAGGTTTGATGGCATGGCAGTACATCATAGGCATTTTGAAGTTATTGTAACACCATAAAGAACCAAGTTAAGAGTTTTTGAAGACGTATAAGGTGAGCTTAAATATCTGTTTAAGGGCAGCAGAAACTCCAGTATATCCTCTTTTGCTTGCTCTTCAGTGTACTTGATCTTGAAACCAGTTTCTGAACAGTCCTGAGATGAACGTGAATTGTCCCTGTTGTGTTTCTACATGTGACAATGCTGACAGTTGGACTACATGCAATTTCACGGATGCTGTCTCGTCTGTCCATTCTTCCTGTACTGTGACAAAATCTGAGAAGTCGGGTAATGTGTTTGTAATGCGTTTGTTACAGCATGCTACAAGGTCAACTGAGGGCAGTATTCTGGTGTGTTAAGTGTTGCAGAGAGTAACACAAAAAGTCCCACCCTAACATGCTTAGAATTTAACTACACAGAACAGGCTGAAGGTTGGGACATAATTTACAGTTAGAAATTATGTTAGTTCCCCCCTTTTTTTTAAAGGATTGATGTAGAGGGAAGATGTTAGATGGGGGGGTACGGAGGATATATCAGCGAGGAGGATGGCAAGTGCAGATGTTTTTTGTTGATGCCTATGGGAAGAGAAGGATGGAGGCAGTTGCTATTGCAGATGAACCAAAGACTGTGAGAGTCGTATGACTTCATCTGTTAGTCCTTAATAATCATTATAGCTCACTTTCCCTTTTAGGGAAGGGAAACATCTCCAGCAGACCCACTGTTGGTGACTGTGGCATAAGCCAAGCCCCACCGGTAGCACTAAGAGTTTGTCTTGCTCTGTTCCAGCTTTTCATCGGCATGGAGAGAAGGGAGACGTTTGGGGGGGAAGAACTGAAGTTGCAACTAATGAATCAAGTAACGTAGTATAAATGCTTTCAGCACTTTGAATGCTCTTTTTCCACTTTTGCTGCTTTACCATTCTCTTACTGAAAGAGAATTGCCTACTGTAATTTAACAAACTACACAGACTGGCTTTTTCAGGGTATTAAGCAACTTTTCTGAAAGCCTAATGTAATCTGTCTCAGTTTTGGGCCTTATTTAAAGGCAGGATTTTTTTGGCACACAAGTGTGGCCGGTCCCCTCTTGTATCATTTTTTGGTTTTCTTTCTTGGCTTACAGCAGAAGAGAGCAACTAAAAAATAAATTAAGTGCAGGAGCTGGTAATTCATGATTGCTGAACAAGTTGTTGCTCCAATGTTGCAAATACTATAATGTTACATTAAATTCTTGCTCGGTTAATATGCAAATAGCAACCGTGGTACAAAATAAAATTGTAGATTCCTTTGCCTGACAATTGTACAAAGCAGTTGATGGTTTTCTGCTGTTTTGTGTCTTCGGAAGGGGAAAAGTGAAGAAAAGACTTAAAAAAAAGAAAAAAAATGCTTTTCACAGTTGGAGCCAATATTGGCAGCCTCACAGCTGCCCTGTTGATGTTGCTGTAGACACTGTTTCGGCATTAGCTAAATATGGCAAGAAAACTTGGATTTTCAAAAGTGAATTGTCACTCTGTTCATGACTTTAAATCACTTCTCTTTGTTCTTTCCCCTTAAAAAAAAAAAAAAACTAAGATTTTCCGATGCTTGAGATTAACAAAGGAAAGAAGCCGAACCTGACACTTTCTGTAAAAATTTCTCTGAAGTTTGATCATTATAGGTGTTTAGCTTTCTGTTTTCCCTTGGACTACAGAGGAAGAGTTGTATTGAATTTTGAGTTGATCCAAGATTTTTGAGTATCGAGAACAAACATTTGTAAAGCTTCCAGTGAGGCCAGGTGACTTTGTATTTGTTTGCACGGCCCTTCTGTTCCTTTTTTTCAGAGTGCATTCTAGTACAAGTCACTTCTGTCACATAGCAAAGAAAAGGTTAGAAGGTAAAATTGTATTTTGTTCTGTAACTATATTGATAGTTACACCAAGGTAACTATCAGGTGATCTAGAGAAAACATACGGTGTGTTTTTCCTGTTTTAATATTTAAGTTGGCAACAAAGCCAATATTCATTTCTGTCAGCGGCTGATAATCTTTTGTCTGTAGTATGAAAAATGTAGCTCCAACTTAACCAGCTATAATAAGTTTCTAAAGCAGAGACTGCTTCTTTGTAGCATTATAAATATTTTGATTCTGCAAACATGTTTCTCAGTGTATTGCATGCCTTTGTCAGAAGAGCAGGCGCTCTTAGAAGAAAGTATTTTTAGCTCTTGTTAAAACAATTGTTTTGTACTCTCTGAAGCTTGCAATGATCTGCAGTGTTAACTTTTGCTCTTTGTCTTTTCCTTGCTTCTCTTAGAAACAAATTCTGTGCATTTGACTTGGCAGTTTTCTGCTGCTTAAAATATGCAGCCCAAACAGCCCAGTGGATGAGCTTTAGGGAAAGGATTTTTAAAGGGGCCTAAGTAAGCTAGCTGCCTTTTGGAAAACATGAGCCTTGATCAAATCTGCCTCTGAATAAACAGTTTGTCTTTGGAAGCATCCCAACCGTTGATAGCCCTCAGACAGTACAGACCTTGGCTGTAAAACGCAAGGGGGTAGTTACATACCCAGACTGTTGGGAGTTGTATTTTTTTCCATATACCTATGAAGAGGTTATGTGATCTGATGCTCTCAGGATTATTAGGGTTGGCTATGAAAGGACTGAAATAGTTTCATTCTAATAAGGCATATATTTTTCTTACCATAATGTTGATTCTATTCTGCTATTTAGCTTTCAGAAATTCTGTAATTTCAATAAAGCCCGAAGAACTTCGGTAGACTTAGCCTGTTTATAGGGAGAAGATACTTCATCTTCTGGATTCATGTGAACAAAAATAAGACTGAAAATCAAGCTTCGCACTTCTCCAACATTGTCAGTAAATAAGTTTTTTACAGGCACAGATCATGATTTTTGTGTCCTGTGTCATGACTTCACACATAACTAAGTTAGAGCTGGGTTAAACTCAGCTGTGAGTCTTGTAGCGAGCCACTCAACTGACCTGATGTTAAGCAATTCAGAGCAATTGCAGCCTGGCAATGGCTTCAAATTCCCCTGATGCCAACTGTCCCAGGCAAAGAGTAGAGATAGGTAAGAAGGAATGAGCTTTAGTTTTCCCACTTTAAGGGCCCCTGCTCCGAGACACTGAATACATAGATGATCTCCTCCTATTTCCCAAACTGATATGTCTATAGTGTATTATTGCTGCTGGAACATTTCTGTTTTGGGCAGAGACAGTTCAACTCTACAAAGACTTCTTTGAGAAATCTATCTACAGAAACAGCTAAAATGGACTTTCTGTACAGGTGAGTGAACTGCAGCAGTTCTTAGTACATAGCAAAGAAAACTTATGAACAGAGGAAAGGATTTTGGTACAAGACTCATTCTCAATACCTTCCTCTTCTATGGATTATTTTAGTGTATTTCTTGGGACTATTAGGTTGAGCTGTGACCTTTGGTCTCTGAAGCTATATGATACTTACTAAGAAAGCAGGTACCAAGATATGACTGACCATTGCTCTTCGAAGCTTCCTTGCTCCTTATCCCGTGTGCTCCTTCTTCCTTTATGCTTTCTTTCACTGGTGCCTTTGGTGTATGGGAACCTCTCTAAGAATATTCTTACTACACCTGAAATATGATGCCCCATTCAAGAGCAGGATTT